TAATATTAAAAACAAGAAAAAGATATAAAAGATAATTATACTAACTAAAAATAGAATTCCAATTTACTAAATATGGAGCACGGCTAAAGCCTGGTGAACATGTAATCTGGCATGGGGTAATTGTGGCTGAATTCACTTCAGAGGAATTCAGCGCTATAGTTAGGAAGTCAATTTTCTGAGTACATGATTAATAGTCATGCACACACATGCATGCCAATAATCCTTGTCACTTGTTTCTTGTTGCTTGTTGCTCGTCCATACCCCTATATCTATAGAATACTTCAGGAAGTACTCTTAAAGGTTTTGATTATGGGCTACTTGAACTGATTGTCACTATTTCTTTATAATTCTACTGGCATGAACCAAATATTTATTTCATTCACAAAATAAATTCTCCCATTTATTGTATCTTTTTTTCAAGTTTGTAATGAAAAATATCCACTTGCTCGATTACTTGAAATATCTTGTGCGAATTTCGGTGAATTAAAGAATAAGTTTGACAAGTTAGCTTGTCTTTTATGACTTTCGCACTTTTTTTCTTTAAATCTCTTCTCTTCAATTCAATTTTTATATATTATGTACTTTTTCCACTATTCTCTAGGTCGTTTTTGAAAAGAATGTGTTTTTTCAGTTTCAAAGGATATAATAATAATCGACTCTGTAAAAAATGAGCTCTCTTACGTCTGCAACTTTAACTCCTGATCAAAGACGTGCTCTTCTCTTTAATATCAATCAACCGCTTGAACTTCCAATGCACGAATTTGATGATGAATGGTGACCCCTTGTATTAAATATCTGGATCAGATTTAATTATGAAATTCTCGTTAACGGTAACTCATGGAGAACCTTTACTTGTCACTTCACCAAACATAATCAATCGAACACACGTAAAGATGGAATTCTCAGTGAAAAACGTCGGAAAACAAACATTTGGCTGGCAAATCTGTATTTTGCAAAAATCAAAGTATCCCGGTTTGTTGGTGAGCAAAAAGTGTGGATTGAACGATATAAAAACTCTCTCAATCATGTTCATACCTTGGAGGAAAGTGAAAAACTGAAAAGATCCCAAACTGTTCGAATTTTGGTTGAGAATGAGGCCGTTAAAAATTATTCACCATCAGCAATCGTTAGTGCGGTTAGGGAATATGCGACAGCGAAGTTGGATCTCAGTTCAAGTATAAAAGAATTGAGATGGAAAGAAGTCACCAATATAAAATATAAAATTCACCGATCTCAAAATTCTCATCTTATTGGTAGCAGTAATCTGGAGCTGGATATCAATGAAGTGGTTTATTTTCTAAAAAATAAAGAATATCCAGTTGAGCGCTATCAAATTTTTCCACAATCCACTCAAGATTTCATTTTTGTGCACCCTGATCAACTCAAAAAACTTCAACATCATGGGTGGTTGACACTAATAGACTCCACCCACAAAACAAATAGGTACGACTGGCATTTATTTACTTTGTATATTCGTAATGGATGTGGATGTTGGGACGTTGACGCCCATTTTTTTGTAAGTAATGAGGATAGTGATACCGTAGCAGAAGTTCTAATAATAATTCAACGGTTTGCATGTTGTTGGAAATCTCGATATTTCCTTGCCGACCAAAGTAATGTGGAAGCTAATAGCATCGCAATAGCTTTTCTGAAACTTCAAAAGGAGGGGGAGTGTGATATTCTCTTTTGTACTGTCCATATTATGCGGACTTGGATAAGTAGGATCTATCATGTGAAAACATGAAACATAATGATCCAAGCAATGCATAAAACAACAAAAATTGAGTGTGAGGAGTTGATTCAACAAGTGATCGATAATTGTCCGGTCCCTGCTGTTCGACAATACATCCTAAGAAACTATGTGTGGAATACACACCAGTGGGCTCTCTAAGCTCATCAACATTTTTTTCTTCTTTTACAAGTGACTTCAACAAACACCTTGGAGTCTTACCACTTCGAATTAAAAAAAACAACCTCACCTCGACATGATTTAATTGGTATGATATAAGTCTATTTATAATATAACCATTTGCTTACCATTAGTTTTCTTTATTTGTCACGTAATTGTATTGCTGTCTTCTTTCATTATACAATCGTATTGCTAGTCTTCTTTATTTATTACACAGTTGTGTTACTGGTCTTCTTTCATTACACAATTGTGTTGCTATCTTCTTTTGTTACGTGATCGTGTTGCTATCTTCTTTCATTACGTGATCATGTTGCTATCTTCTTTTGTTACATGATCATGTTGCTAGTCTTCTTTTATTATATGATTATGTCACTAGTCTTTCATTACACGATTATGTCACTAGTCTTTTATTACACGATTATGTCACTAGTCTTCTTTCATTTTTTTTGTTATGTGATTATGTTGCTAGTCTTCATTTATCATATCACTTGAAATATTCTAATAATCTATCTACTACTACTAGGAGCATGCAATAACGTTATTTTACTGGATGCGAAGAAGCATTCAGATTCAGAGTATGTTGCCTTTGGATTTCATACTAGGAAGATTTCTGTCGTTGGCATCGACTGTGAAATTCTCGATGAAGTTTACAAGTTTCCTTTCCCTATTCAGCAAGTAATTATTAATGAAGCTTGTGCCGTTGAAAAGAGGATACAAAAAGGCAAAGTAGCACCTGGTTTAATGTTGTCTAATTATCATTGCCTGTTCTTTCGTCAGTATCACATCTTTCACAAACACGTGTATGGTGCTAGGAAACTATTAACAATGAGTATTTGGGACCAATTTTAGCAAATGTTTAAAGAATGTGGGCTTGAGATATACGGGCATCGTGAGTCAGTAAGGATGGTAACATCTGAAAGAACCAAAACTGAGAGAGCGGCTGAAAATCGACGAAAAACTGTAAATGAATTGATGGAAAGAACACGTGATATATATTGAAAAGTTGAAGAGAGGGGAGACACTGAACAAACAGTTACATTTATTAAAAAATTGAGAGTTGGTTTGGAATCTGCTTTAATACATTAATATTTAAGTTTTATTTTTAAGTTT